CATAAATGAGAATAAAACAAAGCAAATGGATAACATTATTGGCAAGTAAATATTTTCCTGTTGATATATGAGTAGGAGAGAAGATTTCCATATTAATACTGGTTTGTCTTCTTTGAACAGATATGCTTGTGAGAATCTCTTCATTGTATATGACATTTCCCAGGGCAACCTTGTGACCCTGGACCCTGTGTAGATTTGGAGAAAGAAATGGTCCAAGCCATGCAATCCAGATTCTGATCTCATTCAGGAATGTGCTGAGATACACATTTTTTTTCCTTTGACAGGAATTGTAATTATGCTGTTAGTGTTTCCTCATTTGTGCTCTATGGAAAGTATCTGTTCTGGTTATAAACCATAAAGTAATTTGTGCTATGACCAAGAGCAAAATCTTTGCTCTATTAAAGTCAATGGGAATTTTGCTATTGAGTTCAATACAAATTGCCATTTAATAGTATGCAGAATTCCAGTGTTAAATATGATTAGCAATCTCAGCAATCTCTATTACAATTGAGCATTACGTGCTTTGTGTTCTCATTTGTATTTCTGAAAAATGGATGTGAACTACTATTACTGGTACAGCTGCATTATTTTCTTTCTTTTTTAAAACTTCCCATAAATATATAAAGTATATACATTCTGGTCACATATATATATCAACTTTTCAAGTAACATAAATACAAAAAGGAATTATCCATTGTGCAATGGTTTTGATCCTTTTAATTGTGGTATTTGGTACTTTATTTGCCTCTGTCACAGTCAGTCATATTTTTAGTCTCAAGCCTTTGAAGAACTTGCTATTCTTCATAAGTGTTCTTGAGTTTGAACTTGGAAGAGTTCTTCTGATGATCTGGTTGTGAAACTGTCATCTAATATTAAAATATATAATGTGTTACTTAGGTGCTAGTTAATTGCATTTCATTCAATCTCTTTAGGAAATATTTAGTCTTTGCTAGCTTTGTTAAAGAATGGTTTTGGTTTTGCCATTTGAAAAAGGAGTTTAATGAACATGAATGTGTTAGTTAATTTAAACAATATCTATTAGTTATCTGGGTCTTTCACATGAATAATGCCTTAATGGATTGTTAGGCCAGGAAAATGTTGCCTCACTATAACTTGCTAATTCTAGACATGATAAAGATGTATAACTCTAAAGGTATATTTTTAGGATTAAAGAAGGTTCAGTTATTTATTTTTAAGAAATGAAGAGACTGGGTTTGTTAATTATTTTTTTTTACCATTTAAAACATATTTTGTGTCTTATTTTCACTACACAGGGATATTTTAATGAAATTAACTATTCCTGTTGCAAGAATACATGGATCATCCACTTGAGCAAAGATCAATATGTTAAACTAGCCTTGGATAGGTCAGTGGTAGAATTTATTTGTCAGCTTCTGTGCTTTTGAGAAAAGAAATCCAGGATATGTGAAACAAGTGGTTTTACATTGCAAAAATCACTGATCAAAGTTCTGAACAATGACGGAAAGCTGGAAGTTTTCCACTTGTTAGTTTTATCAAAATACTTCAGCATGGGACAGAAAATATACTTTCTTCCTTCTTTATGAAGCTACTCATAAAGTTTTAGCCTTTTCTCCCCTTTTCCCAATTTTGCATGCATAATAAGCAAACTAATAAGTCCATCTTTTCAAAGACCTTGTCTTTCAAGGTTTCCCTTACTTAAAAGGTATGATGTCAGAAATTTGCTGTACTCATTTACAATGAACTAAGAAATTTTCAGACTCCATTTACAAGAAAGCAGAATAGAAATCTTGTAGTGTTCTTATGCTTTTTAGCCTAGATTTAAGTAATACTACTGAAGGCGTTCTGTCAGAGGGCAGTTTTACTGTGATAAATTAGTTTTACATCCTCATGTATACTGAGTCCTATGTTGTAACTTGGAATCCTGTAGGAATGTCATAAACTACTCTGAAAATGGTGTGTTAGAGAATTATGGAGAAAAATAGGGTTTACAAAGTATCTGCTACTTTTACAGCAAAACCAACCTAAAGCTTAGGCATCTGATCTGAAGAATTATTCTTCACCAGAAGACACTGAACTGCAAGTCTTAACATCCTTCTGTCACAGAGATAGTCAAATTGTATTTGACTGCACCTAAAAATGGAAGAGGATCTTGTCCGTAGTGATCGGTACTTAACTGTGTGTCTAACATTGCCAGGGACCTCAAATGGCTGCATCAAGGATCTGTTGTGCTAGGAGCTGCATAACACAGAAATGTCTATACAATACCTATTCAGAAACAGTTTTGATGCCAAGAACTCCCAATTTTCAAAACAGTGTACTGCAGAGTTCTTGTGACTCATGTGTGTATAAATTTGAGGTATATTTTTTATGAAATTAGTTTTTTAAAAAAATATGAACAGTTCTCAGAAAAGTACTATTTTCAATACTCATATATACATCAGTGAACTACAAGCATTCCTGACCCTTTGCAAAAATTCTGATTCCATTGTGTCAGCCTGGAATCCATGAGAAGTGAAGCAACTGATTAATTTTGTGTATGTATTAAAAAATTGAAACTTTGATCATCATTTATACAAAAGTCCTTTGATAAGTTACCCTGTTACCACTTTAATGTATGAGTATGAATACTATTTCCAAAAACATTTTAACAACGGAAGCACAGACTATGGCCTAATAAAATGTCTTTTTCTTTTTCCTCTTATTTTTCTTTTCCTAAAGAATGGGCAATATCTTACTGAAATTATGCCAAAATCCACATACTAATTAATCTTCTAGATAAATTTAAGAAAGTCAGCATAAGGTTAACACTTTTTGCTGTTTGTGAAAGGATAACTCATTAAAATTAAGCTGTCATTTGTAAAGATGCAGTAAATTTCAGGGAATATTGTGTTTCCTTGGGTAGTACACACTTGAGAGTATGATCTAATACATGTAGCATGATTCCCTCCAAAAGGATTGATGCATCCTATGGGTAAAAATGAAATCTTTTCATTGTTTTCTCTATTCCCTGCTAATTAGTTAAAGTACTATCATTACTGAAACTAACAAGGAGATAGCTTTGTTTTGTACAGCAGTTTATTTTCTCATTGGAATATGTCTATACAATTTTTTTTATTCTATTTGAAGGGCACAGCTGGTGGATCTTTGCTTCAGCTTGGCCTGATGTCCTGTGCATGGTGTACATGACTTTAAATCTTTTATCTTATTTTGTCTGTGGGATAAAGAAACAAATGCAGTTTTTTGTAGGTGCCTTAGATCAGGAACAAACCAATTACGTTAACTTTAATTGTAAGAGAGCTTTAGTCCCTTGTCAAAGATAGGATTTGAGAAAAGAGAACGTGTGAAATTTATTCCTAGTTCAAAATGTACCTCAGCCATGTAGTAAGTAGAGACATTGTTATGAGGGAAAGCTTTAGCAGTCTGTGAAATGAACTTCTGCCTGTTGTTAACAGGAAATTAGAGGTACCAAAAAATTTTTATAAAGTTGAAACAGTTTATACACACCAGTGAAGATGTGGAAATTAACCATTTCAGAAAGTAAATTAGATACTTTTCCAGTATTTTATGGAAGCACTACTGAGTTCCTGGGAAAAGCCCAGTGTACTTACAGAGCTTTTTATCATAGAAAATAAGTAAAACCAGAGTTGGCAGAGGCATAAATAACATGAGACCTTCAATTCCTCATCTAGGTCACAGCAAATCTAAAATGAGATGCAAAAGCCTACTTAGAAAGAGGTAACCTGAGGAAAAATGAGATCACTTATGGAGCATGAATAAAAAGGCATATAATTCTTACAGTATCCAATAGCTATAGTTGTGGTGTAATTTATTATGCCATATTTATGAAGCATCTTTGAATTTCTTGTATTTTGATTGGTCGTACAGTGGGGAGGTCTTGATAATAAAACTGGAATCTTTTGCAAGGAAGTTTCAACAGTTGCAACATACTCCCTCCAGTGGCAAATACTCTGGACTCCATTCTACTGGCTACATTTAGAATCCAGAGCTGTTATTGCTGATGTTGTACGGAGCAGAAATAACAGAGCTTGACTGGCAGGGACCATGGTGATCTTGCATTCATGACAGTTTTGTTTGGTTGGGTTTTTTCGTTTTGTTTATCTAAAGGTATAGGAAAGGCATTTACCTAGCATTCATTCATTTTAACCCTCCAAGGGTGAAGTTTGCTCATAAACTGTGTGAAAGGGACTGATATACAGGCGTGTGACATTA